TAGAAGTATGTTCATTGATGGTATTACAGGGAGCTAAGTTAGATAGAAATTAATAGACAGAGAGATGGGCCCTCAGAGAGTCAGGGCAAAAGATGAGAACACGCCAAAACTGTGGCTGGAGGCACAGCCGTTGAAGGCCAGGCCTCAAGATAAAGATGTAATGACCAGGCCTACATGCCTCCCTGAGGGATAAACAGCAACTTGAGATTGTACTGATTGGTATCACCTGGTCCAGTAAAGTCCAGATAGACATCTTTCACCCAAGTGGGTGACAAGAACATCTAGACCCAGTCAGCAGGTGGGTGACTAGAGCATCCAAACCCATCCCTTCCTGAAAATGCCTTTGTTTTTTCCATGTACCCTTTTATGTGACTCACTTCACAGATCCTATAGACTGTAGTTTGACCCGTGTCGTACCTACATTGTGACTTTGCTTTGTAAAATACTCCTGACAGGGCCGGGATTTAGCTCAGTGGCAACGCATCTGCCTTGCAAGAGCAAGGTCCTGAGGTCCATCCTTGGTACAGCCAAAAAAAAAAAAATTATCCCTGCCAAATGCCTTGGTGGCAACCCACTTCTGGGACCCTTCCAGTCTTTCAGAAGCTCTCTCTCAATAAATGTTTCCTGCTCTTAATCTCCTTTGTCCCTTGGAATTCATTCTTCGATATCAGGGGACATGAACTTGGGACATCCACAGCTGGCAGGTTGGGAGTTATATTTTTCCTATATCAGTGGGACTAGAGTGTCACAACATATTAGCAAGTTATTAAGTGAAAAAAGTAGACTACTAAATAATAGAATGTAGTTTTTTTTTTAAGAAGTAGACTATAGTATCCATGGTAGTTGTCACTGGGTGGTAAGTGATACAACACAAGTTTTTTGAGCTTCTCTGGAACTTTACCATTCACTTAAAAAACTCCTGCTTAGGGATGGTGGCACTGGTACCTGTAGTCCAGTTGCTGAGGCTGAGGCAGGAGAACTGCTTGAAACCAGGAGTTCAGGACAGCTTGGGAAACACAGCAACATTCCATCTCTTGTAAAAAAACAAAACTCATTTGAAACTAGTTTTAATAACAATTAGTTGTTTATATACCTGATGTTCTTTAGTCACTGTAATTTGTTAATTTTGTGAGTCATTTTAAGGATTAGGAATCTATATGTTCTATTTATAACATGTAAATATTTATAGAGCCCTAAATGCGACATCTTAGGATGTGCAGTATTTTGTAAGCTTAAAAGAAAGTTAAAACAAAAAAGGGCAGTCAATCAATTTAAAACATGTTTTCTTTTGCCAAAATACTAACCAAACAACTTCAAATTTGGTGTGTGCGGTGGAAGCGCATCTCATTGCACACATTGGGTCATGAAGCATTCAAAAGACCTTCTGACTGCTGAAGGTGGTTTTCCCACCAGCTTTGTCTAATAGCTGGCAGCAATATCTTGCAATTCACATGCTCTTTCTGGGCCTCATTTTCCTTCTGGCTATGCTGTAAGACATTTTGATTAGCTCATGTTTAACATCCCTTTCTGTTGCTTCCCCTTAGTGAGCACTAGGCTAGGATCCTTCTAAATCTAAAACTAAGATGGTTTTATCGCACACCTCTCTCTTTTCCTTCCTCAACCCTAGACACTGCATTCATCATCTCTACCTTCATTACTATGTCTCTAAGTTTTGAAATAATTTCATTCGGGAGGCCAAAGACAGCATGTCCTTCCATCAGTCTCTGACTGGCAGGAATCCAGGAAACGGGGCATGTAAAATTCTGATGATGTTTTCTGAGAGCCAGGAGTGTGTGCAGTATCTGAGCCTGGCACTCAGCGGAGCTTAGATCCTGCTCCACAGCCCTTTTACATTTTTTTTTTTTTTTGAGACAGGATCTCATTCCTCCTGCCTCAGCCCCTTAGAGTGTCTTATTACAGGCATGTGCCATGACACCTGGGTTTATTTTGAGACAGTGTCTCAGTAAATTGACCAGGTGGAATTTAGGATCTTCCTGCCTCAGTGCCTTTAGGTGTGTGGCATCGAGCTCACCTTGGGGTTTCTTTTCTAAAGGCACTAATGCCAGTCATGAAGGTGGAATCCACATGCCCCACCTGTTCATGAGGGGGACACAGACAATAAGGCCATAGTGCCAATGTGATTGGTGCAGGCTGCGGCTGAGGGCCCTGCTAGCAGCTAGCGCACTTGACTCTGGGCCTCCTTACAGTGTGGTGGCTGATTCTCTAGGCACACATTCTGAGAGACAGGGTACCAGGCAGAAGACTTACCCTTGTTATGACCTGGCTTTGGAAGACTCATAGCATCAATTCTGGCTGATTTTATTGTTATAAATGAGTCACTGAGTCCAGTCCATATTTGAGAAAAAGTGAACTTAGATTCCACCCTTTAAAGAATATGTAGGAATTTACAGGCCATATTTTAAAGCCACCACATTATGTAGCAGTCTAGTTCCTTCTGGTGTATTATGACTAGAATCTTGAGTTTGGAGTCTGAAGATATGATTTCAAGGCCTTTCTGTCTTTTCCTAGAAGCATGGGTAAGTCACTTAATCTCTTTAGTACCATCTTCTCTTTTGTGGTAGAGGGAACTAACAGTGTGTTTCAGAAGATTAATAAGGGTCAAATGAGGGTCATGTATGCGCATGTGTTTTGCTAACTATAAACAAATGTGTGTTACTCTTTCTTCTTCTGATTTTACTACCTTATTCCTTGGATTGTCAGTGAGCATATAGGTTAAAATAAAAAAGTGACAACTTGAAACTATAAGATCAAGTTATAAGGAAAAATAAGCATGAATATAGAGTTGTTTAATTCCACATAAATTAAAATATTTCTAAAATAGATCATAAATACATGTTTTATAGGAAATATCTGTTATTACTGAAATTTACTTTTTTTTTGGAACAGGCCAGCCTGAATTACATAGTGAGACTCTGTCTCAAACTGGTGGTGATCCTCCTGCCTCAGCCTCCTAAGATTGGGAGGCTCATGTAATAATGTGCACCACACTCGGCCTGAAATTTATTAGAATCAACTAAATACTGTTATTACTGAAAATTATTTCCAATTCTTGGAAAAAGATTTCTCATTAAAAATATAGAAGACTAGCAAATTATATATGTTGGAATAGAAATAGAATGATACACACCACAAATATGTAGCCATTCCAGGAAAGGAACATGAGATAAGAGAAGAGGGGACTTCTGTTTAAAAAAAGAATTACTAAATTTCAGTATTGTTTGAGTTTTATTTTTTAAATTAATAAATATAAATAACAGCTTGTCTTTCTCCCTCCTCTCCTTCCTGTTTTTCCTTCCTAACTTCCTTCCTTGTACTGGGGATTGAACTGCGCTGGCCTTTCAATTTTTTTTTCTGAGACAGAGTTTTGCTAAGTCACTAAATTGGCTTGGCTGGTCTTGAATGTGTGATCCTCCTGCTTCAGCCTCCCAGAGTGCTGGTATTACAGGGGTGAGTCACCACACCTGGCCACTTATTTATTTATATGTAGTGGTGAAGACTGAACCCAGGGCCTTATGTGTGCTAAGCACATGTTCCACCACTAAGCTATATAGTACCCCCAGCCCTAATATCATTATTTATTTAACTAAAAATATGTTTTTAAAAGAAGAGATCTTTGTACCATTACAGTATGGGTTAGGGAGAGGGCAGAGGTGGGGCTGTTTCAATAATCAGCTATTTTCTACCGATTTATACAAATGGTTCCACACAGTGTGAGACTCCCTCAGGCTTAGGGAGTTGGATAAGCAGTCAGACTTAGCCAGATCGGGTCAAAACAAGGACAGTTGGGGATCCAGATGTGTGGCCTGAGGAAAAGTGGGATAGGCTGGAGTTAAGTAAGATGCCCTTTGGGGAAAGTTAAGGATGGGCACCAGGGAGGCAAGGAGAAACTCAGGCACAAGCTTTAGGAGCTGTCACCAATTGTTCCATTAACACAGAGACAGTGCTGTGATAATTTATTGTTTTCACTAAGCCACTAACTTCATCCTGTAATACTTTTACAAAACTCTAGATGGCTTTAGTAGGACAGATGACAAAATGTTTTCTGTCTGTAGTTTTTGCTTTCCTTGCTTGGTTTTGCCTACTTTTATTTTGGGAGCAGAAAGGAGATTGGAATTCTGAAAAGTTGCTTTAGCCAAATCCTGTGAACAAAGGGATCCTTGTTTGGGGTTATGCACATCAGCTTTTGGAGGAGTTTAATTCATCAGCTCGGATCTCTGCTTTCAAGTTCTTGCTCTAGTTAGCACTGTGTTCCTCTGTGTCTGTGGAGGTGGGAATCTTGTGAAGGAGAGGCACTGCTAGCTCAGTGTGCCTGGGCCCTGTGCCCTGCTCTAGTTACACCAATAAGTTCAGCCTGCGCGGATCCAGGCGCTAGTGGTCCTAAACAAACACCTGGAACAAACAAAAAAGAGTCAGGCAGGGTTTTCTTTTTTAAGGTGCTTGGCTTATCCATGACTACACAGACATTATTCATTTCTAATATTTTTGAGAATTGATCACTTGGTTCACAGAACGGTACCAACACAAGAGTCAAAAGTTGGGAATGACGGCCTCCTCACCTGAGAATGAAATTTCCCAACATGTTAGCAGCACTGGCTGCTTTGGGATCTGGTGGGATGGGGTGAGGCCTGGAGAACATGAACGGTCCCTGAAACTTGCCCCTTGGTGGTCCATGTATTTTCCCACAAGACAGCAGAAACTTTGATATTTGCTGGTGCTGTTTCAAAAAGTTATTGTCTTGGTTTGCTAAATGACATTCGAGCTTCAGGGAAGACCTGTGAGAATTTTTTAGGTCCTGGGAGACTCCTGCTCTACGTGTGGAGTGCTAAGCTGTGTGTGTTGTCTTACAGTGCTGGGCAACTGATTAATGGCACTGTGCTACCAGTGTGAGTATGTGGCTGCTGTTTTCTTCATTTCTGCCTTATTCTGTTTCCCCTGACAGGACATTTTGGTTTTGATGGTGTGCCAGAAATCTTCAGACAATGAGTTACTGGAACTTGGAGAAAAGGAACTGTGTGCAGTACCGCAGGCATTTTCTGGTGGACAACGGTGTATTTCATGGTGAGCTGTCTATTGTATTTGTGTGATTGGGTCTTTCATTTTGTTTCTGACAGCACTTTTATTCTACATTCTATATGGAAACACAGTGTAATTGTTGGGCTGAACCAAGAGTATCAGGTAACTTGTTTATGGTTAATTACCCAAAAAACTCCCACTGCACATGTCGTTAGCAATGTGCTCCACCTCAATAACAATAATGAAATTTTTTAAATGCTTTCCCTCTTCTGCTACACTGTGGACTCCAGTAATATTTCTTCCTGATGTTTGTAATTATTTTGAGCAAGGCCCGTAGTAGGTGTTCAATTAATAATTGTGGATCACCAATCAGCACTTATTACCAGCATGGTGTGTGTCTTCTAAACGCAAATGTTAAAGGGTGCAATGGTCGCCTGTTTTAGACACTAATTAAAAAGAAGTCCCCCCTTCATTGCTGTTTTTTGGAACTTTAAGACTTATCTGCATATCAGGCTACATATAAAACCACAGTAGAAAAGTTTACCACATTTAATCATTACTATCAGGGTAGATTACTAAAGCCATGAATCAGAGAATAATCAATATTAGTCATTTTAATAGCAAAAGAAGAATTGCCTCTACACAGCTGACATCTGTTTGTATTGTGGTAATGCAGTCAGAGATAAGCTCTGTCAATCTGGTTATCAGGATACTTGTGAGAGAAATTTATTTAAGAGTCAAAGATTTGTGTGGCACCAGAATTTTTGAGTAGTCTCCATTGGAAGTCAGTGGAGTTATAAAGGGAAGTGAGATTTCACAAAATGTGGAGTGCTGTTTAACAGAATCTTATAATCTAAGCTGCTTTTAACTTTTTTGGGGGGGGTACCGGGGATCGAACTCAGGTCCTTGAGCTTGTGCAGCAGGCAGTGAAACCACTGAGCTAAATCCCTGGCCTGCTTTTAACTTTCTAAAGTTGATTTTTCTTTCCCAATTTGGCGACAGTCTTAATGTGTGTTATTGCTTTCAATTAAGTTTAAGATAAAAAACACAATTTTAGAGTTTACCATGTTTTCTTTTGTAACATTTGTTGTATCACCTTGTTACAGTACAAGGGAAAAGAAAAGGAAACAGAGATGAAATGACTGCTGAAGCTGGCAGAGCTGGTTATTTGCAAGGTCAAAATAAAAACTCCTGCCTGTACCCTTCCAGACTGGCTCTCTTGTTGTTGTTGCAATGAAGTGCTCTTAGCAGGGAGATGGGGAACTGGAACTTAAAAATTTGGAGTGAGGTTCTGCTTGGCTGTTTTTGAATCTAGTGCCAGGGTCCTGTTCATTGCTTTGTCTTTTTTAGGCCTAGTGCTCGTTGGGTGGTATTTTCTATTAGGATTTTATTTATGTATTTTAGGAAATGAAATCTCACTATGTTGGCCAGGATGACTTCAAACTCCTGGGCTCAAGCAGTCCTTCTGTCTCATTCTTCCAAGTAGCTAGACATACATCACTATGTTAGGCTAGCTTTGTTTTAAAAAAGGACAAATATGGTAATTGAAGAAGCACAGGAGTTAGAAGAAGTAGATTTATTTTTCCAAGCTTTATTTTATTCCAGTTTTAAAATTCAGATTTAAATGTCTTAAATTCATTATTATTTTCATTATTTTAAATGCCCTTTTCCTGAATCTCAAAAGCTATAACTTAAAAACAATTTTAATATAAATTAATGACTATATTCCAATTAGTATATGACTATTTTGTAGATTCTTTATGTGAAGGGCTTGCTGGACATTGTTATATTGAATCCTTTCAACATTTTGCAATAGTTATTGCTATTACTATTATTATTATTTTAACTTATTGAGATAAAATTTCTCTATGTAGCTCATTCTGGCCTCAAACTTACTCTATGGCCCAAAGCTGGCCTCAAACTCATGATCCCCCTGTCTTAGCCTCCTCAGTGCTGGAACAACAGTAACTATTAATCTCATTTTATGGATGGAGGAACTGAGGCTTGTGGAGGTTTTGAAGTGGTGATCTGAAATTCAAATCTTGGTTTGCTTGACTCCAAAACCCCACTGTTTCTTTTCTTCCATGCTGCTATTCAACTTTAATAGGGAAACTAATACTCTGAGAGGTTTAAATTTTATTCAACAGTATTTGTCTGTTATTAGTTAGCAATGGAAAAATTTGAACAAATTATATAAATTCTCCAGGAACTCACTTCTCTGTAAAATAAGCATGTTGGTCTTGATGGTTTTGTTAGGTTCTTTCTACTTCTAATCTCTGAAATACCATTGAAATATTTCTTTCTTTCTTTTTTTTTTTTTTACTTTTTTTATTGCTACATTTTAGATATACATAATGATAACATTCATCATAGGGAATTTGTACCTGTAGATGATATATCTTTCTTCTTCTTTTTTTCCCCATTCCCCTAAAAAAAAAGAATAGAAGGAAAACATAGAAACAAATCTTTTGTAAATAAGGAGAAAATGAGGGGTTGAAGGAAGAAGAGGGGAATGAAGTATTTCTGAGAATTACAGTTACTGCATTTTGTGATACACAAGGGGGCAGTAGAGTACTTAAAATAGGATTATTATTCAAATGTACTTCTGAACGGATTTAGAGATATTAAATCCTCTCAAGATTAAAAGGATCAGAGCCATTTAGAATTATGATTCTATCTCCTTATAATACTGTAGAAGCTTTAAGTGTTTCTGATAGCATAGAGTATTGTTTTGGACTTCTATGCCCAAGGAGATGTGGTACATTAGACAGAAAGGTGCTTTTTGCTTTTGCTCTACCTCTGCAGAAAACCAAAGCCAGTTACAATAGAAACTTGTTGAATTTATGGGAGAGTTGTCAGAAGTCTGTATATTTTCCACTAAGTGAACTGTAGTGATAATATCTTTGTTTAGGATTTCAGAATATTTGTGAGAGAGGAAAGTGTCAGGAAACATTAAGTCACAACATGGAGGGGCTTCTAGTGCAGAAGGTGAACATTCTGATCCTGCTTTTTTTTTTTTTTGGTACCAGGGATCAAACTCTGGTCCTCTAAATCCCTGGCCCTGACCCTGCTTTTTGTATACTAACTTGGCTGTATATGTTAATAGCTCCCTGTATAGAATCAGATCAATCTAAATAAAAACAAAACCTCTTTCAACATAAACAGAAAAGAACAATTCCCCTCATTAACAAGATAAAGGGATTTTGGAATATGCAGACTTGGATGATGTGCAAAGGTGCTAGCCATAATCTCTTTGTACATACAGATGTAAGCAGTGTTCCTAGCAGAAAAGAACTCCATTAAAATGAGTACTCTGGGGCCAGGATTTAGCTCAGTGGTTTGCTGCCTGTCTCTTAAGCACAAGGTCCTGAGTTTGATTCCTGGCAGCAAAAAAAAAAAAAAAAAAAAAAAAAAAGAGTACTCTGTGGGCCAAAATAAAAGTAAAAATGAAAATGTAGTATTTTCACCTCTTATAGGTTATAAAGCATAATCCTAAGCCTCATTTTCTGAGCATAGAGCCAGTATATTCTCATTGGAAACAACTTAGAATATTACAACCCAAAGAAGAAGAGACTATTAAATCCACTGGAAATTGGCTGCATATGTCCAGAATTTTGTCTGTTATTTTATCTTCCTAATATTTCTGACGCAGGAAGGACTATTTGGAAAAAACTGAGAAATATCTGCTGACCAACAGAAATGAGCTGGTTGAATTAAACTTAGTTGTATGGTCAGTAATGATACCTTGTTAGGAATCTTAAATTTTCACATTTCTCGCTACCTTTTCCCAGATGTTTGGGGAACATGTTGAATCCAAAGGGATTTAAATCAATCAAAGAAGCTAATTGCTGGGGTTTCCCTCCTACGTGGCTTTTATTTTCCTAAAATGCTTCAGAAAAAATTTGAACAAAAATTTTGGGCAGTATAAACCTTGCCTCAATGGCTTATACTTTCAGTGAATTATTCTGATTTGAAAATTGCCTATTTCTTTAGCTACTTATCTTGATTATAGAGAATTACAATCTGTTTTCTTGATCTGGGATATAGTCTTGATTGTTAAACCAGAGATCACTATACTCGCAATGAATGTGTGTAATTTCTTATGCACATAAGATTGTCCAGGGCCAGGGATTTAGCTCAGTGGTTCCGGCGCCTGCCTTTCAAGCACAAAGTCCTGAGTTCGATCCCTGGTACCAAAAAAAAAAAAGATTGTCTAAACATTGAAGCTCCTTAATAGAATATGATTGTGTTACTGACTAGCATGAGTTCTTAGCTACATGTGGGATGGAAATCAGACATGAGCTGATTCCTAAGCCACTTTTGACCATCACTGTTATCTCCCTTCTTCTTCAGGGGTTTCTAAAGGGGATGGTCCAAGATGTTACCATTGGCTGAGGGTTCTCGTTCAGTTCATACAGAAAGCACAGACAGAGTGACAAAGCCCTGCTCTTTTAATGTTAGCAGCCCTGAGCTTTCAGTGCACCTTAGAGCCAGCAGCTACTGACAGGCTTCAGGAACTTTTCTGGCCACTAGAGACTGTGGCTCCTGGCAATTCTCCATTACTCTGTCATTTACTGCTGCTAGGCACCGTAAATGTTACTGCAAGTGACCAGCAGCCTTTGGTGTCACTGGCTTTCAGAGTACCAGCCCAACATGCTCTACTGGCAAAACTTCACTTATCTTTAAGCAGGGGTGTGTGTGTGTGTATGTGTGTGTGTGTGTGTGTGTGGCATGTGTTTATGTGTTGTATGTGTTTGTGTGTTGTGAATATTTGTGTGTTATGTGTATTTGTGTAGGGGTAGTCAGGGACTCCTCTTGACCATGGAAAAAATCATTAGCTAGGACTGACACACAAGCTTCAGGATAAACATGATTATATTGAAAAAGAAGATTCCCTTCACTGAATATCTGTCTTACTAGAAGAAAAGAAGAATGCCAAATCTAGCCTGGTAAAAATAGGAAGAGAATGAAATTATGCAGAAGTAAATTAAGAGTTCCAATTAATTTAGGCCAGTTTATTAGCAAGTCATGGCTTTGTCAGCCTA